ACGTATTTTTAGCCAAAACATCTTATATAGAGAAACATAGTGAGTATGAAATAGCTTATTAGGCCATACATACTAAATTAAGGTACCTTAGTTTAAGTTTTACCAGTGCATTGTTCATCCTTTTACCTAAACCCTAAATTAAGGTACATAGGTAATTTTTTCTTGATGCTACCTATAAACATATCTACTATGGAATCATTACTCTCAATATGAGAGAGAGACTTAATTTTGGAGAATGAGAATCAGGTTAAGTTCCCTTTTAATCGCAAATATTACACTACACGTTAAAAAAGGCATATATCCAATTTCCTTTTTGTGGCGGAGATGGATTCTTACCGGCCTAAGGAAATTTAAAACCACATAATTATAATGCGTCTTTGATTGAGTAAACAAGAGATTTGTCTAGAATTAGATCACATGTTTGAAAGAACATTCTAAAGTTTGTTTTGTTTGTTTGGCTGGAAAAAGAACATTATAAAGTGATTTCTTTATGTAGATGGATTCAAGATTTATATATATCAAGATATGAACACAATAATATGACTGAATATGTTTGTGCTCATCTAAAAATGGGGGAGGCATGATTGACCTTAGGCATATTTTTTTCAGATATCGTTTCTTTTCGGATCTACCAAGTGGGAATTGATTTGCCTAGTGAAAAAAGAAGAATATGGAAGAGAAAGACAAAAAATGTTCAATTGATATTAACCGAATTGACCCTTGATATTATGATTAATTGGAATACAAAATTACATTTTGAACAAATGATTTATTTTTCACAAAAAACAAAAAAAAAACAAATCTCGACCAGATGAGTTGTAGATCTGAAAAAAAAAACAATTAAAAAATTAATACTCACCAAAATCAAAAGTTACATCAGCATTTGTTCCTTAAGTATATATGCATCAAATCGAAAAAATCAGTATTTGTTCTAAGGTGATTATAGTTCATTATTATCGTATGAAAAGTAGAGATTAGTTCTTACAAAAATTTTAGTTTAGACTCCTAATGTTTTATTAGTATATGTTTGATTTTTTTATTCTGTTTTGAACGGAAATTTATATTGTATTTTGAGTGAAAAAAAAATTATTAAATTTCCCAGGTTTATTCTATTAATATTGTATTAGATAAAAATAAAGTGGTAGATTTCATCTCAAAAGATACTGATTAGAGTAAATTTGATGTTTTATATTATTTTTTTTTGTCACAATGTTTTATATTTTTATATGTGCGATTTTTATAAGAAAATGGATCGGCATCAATTAGAGCCTCAAATCCGAAAAATGGAGATTCCTACATTTTGAAGTTGACATTTGCTGACGCCATTTCGCAGCAGTTAGGTTCAAAAGTGCCAATGATATATTTCTTTGATTAATATATTAACATCTAACCTTTTCTTTATTTTGTTATTATGGGTTCATGTGGCTCTCCTTAATCGTAAAGATAATAAAATGCTAATCCTTTCCTGTCTTCTTAATTAAATCATAAATGATAACTTTTTATATTAGAGTGGCGTCTGCGGAAATTATTACATTACAATGTCTTGGTTTATAATGGTTAATTATATATATGAAAAAGGTAGAAGTACGAGGCCTTTAAGTTTATTTTATGAATACGGACGGATAGAGACGTATCAGACTATTGCAACTCTTACGGTTACAAAATAGGAGAAAGCAACTTGAGATATACTAGGATTAGGAAACACTCCTCTTAATCTTATCCGCACCTTTCATCGTTAATTATAATTTAATCCTGCAATTATATGATCTAATCAATCTGTCAGCTGTGA